AGCTGAAACACACCTGAGCGACACGAAACACAGCTGAAACACACCTGGGCGACACGAAACACAGCTGAAACACACCTGGGCGACACTAAACGCACCTGAAACACACCTGGGCGACACTAAACGCACCTGAAACGCAGCTGGGCGACACTAAACACAGCTGAAACGCAGCTGAAATACACCTGAGCGACACGAAACACAGCTGAAACACACCTGAGTGACACGAAACACAGCTGAAACACACCTGGGCGACACTAAACGCACCTGAAATACACCTGGGCGACACTAAACACAGCTGAAACGCAGCTGAGCGACACGAAATGCAGCTGAAACGCATGTACCTGATCACCTGCACATTTGCATTTTTCACCTTAACAGTTAGTGAATAGTTTCATGCAGGATTTGTTTGTTTTCAGGTGAGCTCTGAGTTGAGCAGTGATGTCGTCTCAACTGAGTCAAAAGAAAACATTGGTGGTGAGTCATCACTTTTGTTTTCCGTAATTTAAAACTGTAAACGGGAAGTGTGCGTGTTGAAAGCGTCTATATCAGGTTTTATAGAAAGAACAGAAGCTCAGGACGCTGCCCTGAGGGACGCCACATGTTGTTGAAGACAGGTGTGTGTGTGTGTGATCACAGTGAGATGCAGCCAGTCAATCATTCGTCGTAGAGCTTCCTGCATGATTTCCCATCAGCCCCTTCGCCGCCCAACACGCCGCCGCCGACACACTGTGGTGGTTGTCCAATGCAGAGAACCGCTGCGAGGTGTGTGTGTGTGTGTGTGTGTCTGGGTGTGTGTCTGGGTGTTTTGTCGGTTTTCTCGTCTCTTAACCCTCAGTGTGGGTTAGGGTTAACTAAAGGGTCTCCACCTGTTCACCTTTACCTTCTATATTCTACATTTAATCCGTTTTCACTCTCTGACCTTCTTCTCCTTCAACCTCATCAGATGTCACCTCCAGGACTCTGGTGGCCCACAACAGCTGCGTGGTGTCAGCGGTCCAGCAGGCGGCGCCTCGACTCGGATACCTGGGAACCACCGCCAGCTCCAGGGCCAAACTGAGCCAGGACCCCCCCACCACAGCCCAGGAGGAGGAGGAGGAGGAGGAGGAGGAGGAGGAGGAGGACGAGGAGAAGAAGAAGGAGAACCTTTCCTCCTCAGGCCTCCTGCCTCCTGCCCCCCTGCTGCCTGCTGGTCTGGACCTCCACAGCACCAAACCTGACCCCCATCAGGACCAGACCAGCAGGTAACATCCTGGTCCCACTGGAAAGAGGATAAAGTTGCTATAGTTTTAAAATGAGGTCAAAATATTTGTAGAATAAGTTGTATTTTTTATAAATAACTAACTTCATTTGAATGTGTCTCTCGCAAGTGTCACTCTGTCATCTCTGGTGTTGGCCACGCCCACCAAGGTGATGTCACAGGGCGGAGTCAGGAGGTTCAGCAGCGTTGAGGAGACTCTGCCGACGGATCAGAACCTCACCCTAACACCCGCCTCCTCCGTCACCCTCACAGCCACGCCCACTGCCTGTGACATCATCACCTCTGACATCATCAGCTGCTCTGCCTCCAGGCAGGAAGAAGAGGGCTCAGGAGGACCCGAGACCAGATTCCGGACTGATCCAGGTAAGAACATTATGATGATGATTATTTTTAAATATTTAAACTATTGTCTAATAATGTTAATTAAATGAGTTTCTGACTGTCTTTTTGTATCAGACCCGTCTCTGGCAGCTGATTTGTTGTCCTCTGACCCGCCCACCTCCTCCTCCTCTCCTCTGTCAGAGAAGCCCTGCCCCCCTCAGACAGGTAGCTTCCTGTCAAAACATTCATAGACTCTGATATCTCAACATCGTTCTAGATGGTGGTTCCTGCTCCTCAGAGGATGTACCCTGTACATGTGTTCAGGATCATCGTTTGTTTCTCTTGTTGCAGGTCCAGGTGGTGACGAAGATGACGATGAAGATGATGAAGAGTCGGTCAGTCTTCAGCAGTGTCAGCAGGTCGCCAACGAGCTGAGACAGACGGCGAGACGAGCCGTCCACCTGTACCGACAGGTGAACATCCTGTGTGTCGTTTCAGTCTGAATCATGGCTAAGCCCCGCCCCCCTCCGCTGCTGCCCTGTCAGCTACGTTATCGTGGAGACCACACTCACTAAATGACATCACTGAATTATCTCATTTTATGTAAAAAGAGTGAAAAGTGAACAAACTCATCAGTACCTTTAGTAGCTAGCTTAGCATAGACGTGCTAACCTGCTACTTAATGCTGAGCTAACTTTCTCTGCTACGCTAACGCTAGCTCCACTTATTGTTACACAACGTTCCACTAAACCAGGAACTAAAGATGCTGCGCTGTGATTGGTCAGCCTGTGTTCAAGGGGCGGGCCTTAGAGAAGGGTCAATTTAGACTCAAGAAAAAAAGTTGCGGGAAAGATGTCGTAATGTTTTGAAAAGTGATTTCAAGAAAAAACTAAATATTTGAGGAAAATATTAAGTAACATTTAGAGAAAATTTAAATATTTTGAGACGCTGGTAAAATAAACTTTAATAATTCTCTCTAGAGTCACAGCAGAATATTTACAACAATAACTTAGAAAAACTAAAATATATAGCAATAACTAGTTATATTTATATAACTTATAAGATTATTAAAAGTCAAATTAAAGCTGCTGAGTACTCATGAACAGTATTAAGTATTCTTAGTTTTATATATTGAGGTTTTTTGTCCTCATTTCTTTCTCTCTACCTTTTTTAAATGTATAATAAATGTCCTCCAGGTTGGCGGGTCCGATCGGTGTCTCCAGATGTCGTCCGTCCTTCAGGGTGCGTTTGGTGTCGTTCACTCTGAGCTGCAGGCGGTGCTGCTGCGGGGGGGCGGAGTCTCCTCTGCTCAGCTGGAGGACGACGGGACGACGTCTCTGCTGGAGAAATACTCTGAGCTGCTGGTCCAGATGACCCAGAACAAGCTGAACCGGGTCTGATACTGAACCGGGTCTGATCCTGTATGGAGGCTCAGAGAGGCCAAAAGTCACTTTACCGGTCGGCTGAGTGACTCAGCTGTTTTTTATCAGTATTCTTAAAGCACCTTATGTTTGTTTTTAACTTGTTTTAACTCCCGATCACTGTTTGTACATAAACTGTTTTATATGTTTCTTGATAAATCTTCAATTTGTCTCAGTTTATTTGTTTTATTTCAGCTTTAGAGAAGACGTTGAAGTCGTGAATTCAGAAGAAATCAACTTTCTGATTTGAGTTTTCTCTCATAATAATATTATTTGATTTACCTACATTGACCCTAAAACACCACCGTAGTTTTGACTAACTACGAGTATTTATATTTCATTTTTTTTAAAGCAAAATTTCATCATAAAAAAAAACATGTAGTGTTTTTAATAACAGGAATATTTCTCATAGAAACGGAAAAACTTGTTTGTTTAATTTTATGTTTTAAACAAGAAAATATTTAACTAAATAAATTATTGAAATGAGAAACTAAAAATAACAGATCAACAACTGTTCTGCAGTTAAATATATATTTTAAATATATCATTTTTAAATATATCACATATATAAATGTGTATATTTTAAATACATTTATATATATTTAAATATACTGTATATATATATATATTTTTTAAATATACTGTGTATATATATATATATATATTTTTTTTAATATACTGTATATATATATATATTTACATATTTTTAAATATACTGTATATATTTTTAAATATACTGTATATATATATATATATTTTTTTTAAATATACTGTGTATATATATATATATATATTTTTTTTTTTAAATATACTGTATATATATATATATTTACATATTTTTAAATATACTGTATATATTTTTAAATATATTTTTAAATATACTGTATATATTTTTTTAAATATACTGTATATATTTATCTTTATATATTTTTAAATATACTGTATATATTTATCTATATAAACAAAGGTGAGACATCAGGGGGCGTGTCCTATTCTTTCTTTTCTTTTTGTTTCTTCGAGTCAAAACCGGAAGCGGGCTGTGATTGGCTGAGAGACCCGGCAGCTGGCAGCCTTAGCCCCCCCCCCCCCCCCCCCCAGCCAAAGTGACGAATCTCTAAGGTAAAACAACAACAACACAAACAAATACCAGAGAAGAAGGAGAAGAAAACCTAAAAAGGAGTGACCAACATGGCGGCGGTGAGAAGAACCGGAGTCTCACCACGGAGCCGCCTGTAGCTCCGGGCCGCTCTGGGAGCGTCTGTCTGCGGCATGCTGCGGGCCTCATGGCCGCTGTGACGGAGACCTGGAGGAGACACATCGTCGGTCAGCTGAAGCACCGAGACCTGAACCAGCACCACCGGTTCCAGGACCTGATCCGCTTCTGTACGATGGTCCAGTACTCTTTTATTTTTATTTTTTAAATCTGTTCTGAGACAATAATGAGAGGAGGTCCCGGGTGTAGAAACCGAGCCGGATATAACCCGGATGTGTCTGCTCGTGTCGGGTAACCCGGGTCAGAACTCGAGTCTGGTTGATTCCTCAAAAGGTCACAAACGACTCCTGTGAAGTTCAACCAAACTCTATTCAAAGAAATAAATCAACTATTCTATGTATACATAGCTATAGGCCTCTTTATGCCTCTGTTCCTCTATCACTGTCTGCTGTGTTCATGGGACAGGAAGTAGTCACACCACTGAACCACATGTTCCACTTCCTCTGCACAGTGACTCAGTATCAGTGTGCTTCATCTTCATCACTACACTGTTAGCTGGAGGCGATGAACACGAGGATGAAGACCAAGTTCATCATGTTCTAGTGAAACCTTTGATCTTAAACTCTCATATTGTGAATGGAGTCAGAAGAGAAACCACGCCAATGTTTCTGTTATTGTCCTTCAGCAGCTGATGTTTACATGGAGACCTCCAGGTAGGGTTCTACAGGGGAGCCCTGATCCAGGAGAGACACAGGGTCCTGATCCAGGAGAGACCAGGACCCACTGATTCTGGTCTCTTGTGTTTTCAGACATTCGTCTTCTGGAGAAAACCAGTTTGACCAAAGGAATCCTGAGCTGCTCCGTCAGGTAGATCACCTGGAGACACCTGACCTCTGATAATGATGAAGATGAAGAAGATGATGATGATGAAGGAGGGTGTGTTTGTTTTGTTCCTCCAGATGTCTGTCCTCTGACAGAAGCTCTGTTTCCTCTCTGCTTCACCAGAAAAACAATCTGAAGAAAACTACAGGAGAGGTCTCTCACTCTCACATACACACACACCATGTGTGTTCTTGTTTCACTGATATGAACCAGGACTCTGGTCTGTGAACACCTGATCCAGGTTTCTGGATACTGGACTTGGTATCAGCGTATAAAACAGCGTTCTCTCTCTGACCAACCGGAACATTAAAGCACAGCTCTGATGATAATAACATGAACTCACTCTTCTTCTGTGGTGTCTGTTCTCAGCTGGCCTATCAGGTGCTGGAGCTGCAGCAGCAGATTCAAATCAAAGAATGTGTTCTGGAGGAGCAACATGCCAGGTGAGTCACACCTGGACCTGTTAGACCACCTGTGAGGTCACCTGTGGATCCTCTCAGCTCATTGGTCGGATCTGGTCAGATGTTCCTCCACATCAGCAACATTTTTCTTCAAGGATTGAGATCTTTTTTATGATCTTTTTCCTCGTAATATTCAAACTTCTTGTTTTCTTAAAGTCTCCAAACTTTTCTCTTTTTACCAAATATTTCCATTTTTAGTTGGAATATAGACGATAGAATCTATATAGAATATAGCTATTTGCAACATTCCAACCTATTCTATTCAGTTTCTCTCCGTGTTGATCCGTGTCAATCCGTGTCGATCAGCGTTGATCCGTATTGATCTGCTCTGTGTGATCAGACTGGTGGAGGACGGGTCCCGGCTGGAGGGTGCGCTTGATGCTCGTCGGGCGCTGCAGCAGCGGGTGGAAACGGTTCAGGAGGAGAACGGGGCGTTGAAGAGGAAGTACGACGAGCTGCTGGAGCTTCAGAGACGAGAGGAGACGAAGCTCAGAGAGGAGACGGTGAGAGGAGAACACCTGCTGGAGGACCTGATCCACCTGAAGACACAGGCCGCCGCCCACATGAACAGCCACAACCAACGCAGGTCGAGGTACCTGAACCTTAACGCACCTGAACCACCTCACACACCTCAACACACCTCAACCGCCTCACACACCTCAACCGCCTCACACACCTCAACACACCTCACACACCTCA